AAGGGAAGTGGTGCTGGCTCCTACCCTGGGGATCTTTAAGAAGAGGCTTGATGCCTACCTGGCTGAACTCATTTGAGTCCAGTTTTTTCTCCCGCCCAGGCAGGGGGTCGGACTTGAAGATCTACAAGGTCCCTTCCAACCCTACTTCTATGGTTCTATGATTCTATGATTAGAAGCCAGCATGCTGGCTAACAGAGCATGCTGCCTTGTAATGTGCCGGTTACCAGAGAGTTTTCTGTACTAGAGAAATTAAAAACAGGAGATCAAGCAGCAACAATAATCATTAGGTTTTCGTATCTCTACTTTGGAATATTTTAAAAGTAGATATACTTTCAAATAGAAACTGAAAATCATGTCTACAAAATGTGTTCTATTCTCTATGCATCCCTGTCCTTCACTGTGATATGCTCAGTCACTCCAAGTACTGACATTTTTACCCCCAAGAGAACCATAGATAAATAATGTGGAGAGTGGGTCCAACCCATACTAACGGAGAAGAAATTAGCTGGCAAAGATTCCAATCTTGTAAACATTAATGCACATAACTTAGTACAGGCAGTCCTCAACTTGCAACGTTTCGAGTTACGTTTGGCACGTATAAACGTTTATAAATTGACACCCTGTTTCAACTTTCTGACATCAGTTTTGACTTTACAACGCTTGATCCAATGTGTTGCCATGCCAGTGAACAAGTTCGCTGTGTCACTCGTCTCCCTGGAAGAACAACTGTCCAAACTTCTTTGGACACTTTCTTTAAGAAAACAGACAAGACTCCAGAAAATCCTGCAGCCGAGACTCCTGAGAAGACTCCAGCCAAGAATCCTTCAAGAAGTCCAACCAAGAGCCAGTAAAAAATTCTAAAGTCACTTCAAAGAAGTCCTTCCAAATCAATATGATTGCTATTTACAATATAAATACATTAATGTAGCTATATTATTCATCTATAATTGATCGAGTACAAAATTCTGGGGTATTTTTGGTGCAAATAGGGTTCCGGGCCTTGGTTCAGAAATGAATCGCCCATTTATAACATTGTTTCTTATGAGAAAATTGGTTCCAAATTACAACGTTTCGACTTAAGATGCAGTTTTCAGGAACCAGTTATATCGTGAATCTGAGGACTGCCTATACCTCGATTTTTGTCTCTATACACAAAGTGACTTAAGTGAAAATATCTGCATTTAAAAAAGACCTGTTGGACTGTGGCATATATTTATTAAAGTAATAGAATTATCATAGAAAATTAGAGTTGGAAGGGACCTCAGGAGGTCATCTAGTGCAACCCCCCCTGCTCAAAGCAGAACCATCCCCAAGTAGATCATTCCAGCCAGGGCTTTATCCAGCCAGGCCTTAAAAACCTCCAAGGATGGAGATTCCACCACCTTCCTAGGTAAACCAGTCCAGTGCTTCACCACCCTCCTAGTGAGAAATTCTTTCCTAATATCCAACCTAAACTTCCCTTGCTGCAACTTGAGACCATTGCTCCTTGTTCTGTCATCTGCCCCCACTGAGAACAGTCCAGCTCCATCCTCTTTTGAATCCCCCTTCAGGTAGTTAAAGGCTGCTATTAAATCCCCCCTCAGCCTTCTCTTCTCCAGACTAAAGAAGTCCAGTTCCCTCAGACTCCTCCTAAGTCATGTGCCCCTGCCCTCTCTAACTATTTTCATTGCCCTCTGCTAGACTCTCTCCAATTTATCCACATCCTTTCTACAGTGGGGGGCCCAAAACTGGATACTACCTCAGATGTGGCTTCACTGGTGCCAAATAGAGGGGAATAATTACTTCCCTCGATCTGCTGGCAACACCTGTACTAATGCAGCCCAGTATGCTGTAAGCCTTCTTCAAAGGTACACTGTTGACTCATATCCAGCTTATTGTCCACTGTAATCCCCAGGTCCTTTTCTGCAGAGCTGCTGCATAGCCAACTGGTCCCAAGCCTGCAGCAGTGCATGGGATTCTTTCATCCTAAGTGCAGGACTTTACACTTGTCCTTGATGAACCTCATAAGATTTTTTTTGGCCCAATCCTCCAATTTGTCTGGGTCTCTCTGAATCCTAGCTCTATCCTCTAGCATATCTACTACTCCCCACAGCTTGGCATTATCTGCAAACTTGTTGAGGATGCACTCCATCCCACCTTCCAGATCATTAATAAAGATATTGAACAAAGCCAACTCCAGGATCAACCCTGGGGCACTCCACTTGAGACCAGCTGCCAACAAGACTTCGAATGATTGATCACTACCTGTTCAGCCCAACAATCCAGCCAGCTTTCTACACCTTACAGTCCATTCATCCAACCCATACTTCCTTAGCTTGCTTGCAAGACTGCTGTGGGAGACCATATCAAAAGCATTGCTAAAATCAAGGACACCACATCCACCAGCATCTCATCATAGAAAGAAATCAGGTTGGTCAGGCATGACTTGCCCTTCATGAATCCATTCTGACTGTTCCTGATCACTTTCTTCTCCCAAGTACTTAGAAGTAGATTCTTTGAGGATCTGATACATAATTTTTCTGGAGACTGAAATGAGGCTGACCAATCTGTAGTTCCCTGGATCCTCTTTCT